GTGATTTAGATTTGGTTGTTGATAAAGCACTTAAGCTGGATAGAGGGCCACAGTTTGGACATTTCTTCAGAATTACCCAGAAGGAAGAGCAAAAGGTCAGGAAGAAACTGAACACCCACTTTATTATTCTTGATACTCGAAAAGATGGAGTGAAATTTACCAATACAAAACTCAAGAAACTTGGGGATCAATACCAAATGATAGTTGAGGAGTATAAGAACTGCCAGAAAGAACTGGTTGTTCGAGTAGTTAAAACTGCTTCAACATTCTCTGAGGTGACATTTGATTAAATATAATTTTATTATGTTTCGATAATACTAGTTCATCTTTTTTTTATTTTTGATGTCACTATAATGACTATATTGCATTTAGCCATTAACTAAGCATTGGTTGTATAGGTATTCGAGGGAATAGCTGTGTTGCTCTCTGAATTGGATGTCTTGCTCAGTTTTGCAGATTTGGCTGCAAATTGCTCCACGCCATACACAAGGCCAGACATCACCCCTCCAGTAATGAATGTTTGCATGATTATACCAGTTTAGTCAATTTTTTTATTGTAAATGTTACACAAGCTGGTATGATTATTGTGTGTTAGGATGTAGGAGACATTATACTAGAAGGATGTAGACACCCTTGTGTGGAAGCTCAAGATTGGGTCAATTTCATCCCAAACGATTGTAAGCTAGTAAGTGTATAAGACTTCAAGTTCATTGTTGATGTTTCTGGAGTGAGTCTTCATTCATTGGTCCAAATATGTGGACCGGACTGAAAACCAGTCCGGGCCGCGGTTTTGACTGGGTCTCGGGTTGGTCCGCACCAAATAAGGCACACCACTAGTCTTTCATATTGATGAGTTACTAGTTCTTTGCTTTCCCAGGTTAGAGGAAAGAGTTGGTTTCAGATTATTACTGGGCCTAATATGGGTGGAAAATCTACATTTATACGCCAGGTATGATGTTTAATTCTTTTGAATGACTTCAATAATTCTTGCATTGTTTTCAAGACATGATTTTAAATCACAGACTAGCTCCATTGTTTCCGTGTATGATTCAAAGGTTTGTATTGTGTACCATTGCCTACTCCATAGAGTGGGATATACATTTATTTACAAAGTATTGGCACCGGCACTACACTGTCATTATTAAAGACTTCTGAAGTTTGATGCAAGATTGCTGACCCTTGTTAGATTCTTGCATATTTATTTTTTTTGCCTGTAAAAATATCTGAATTCTTTTCACATACTTGGACGAGCAGGTTGGGGTTAATATCCTAATGGCGCAAGTTGGCTCATTTATTCCCTGCGACAAAGCTAGCATTTCTATTCGTGATTGTATCTTTGCTCGTATAGGTGCTGGCGATTGCCAGGTGAGTTGGCATGATCTTTTGATAAGAGATTGTAACGTGTGACTGTCATGTTTCTTTGCGTTAGTGTAACACAATTAGCAAAGAAACGAAATTGAGTCTCATTCTTTTTCTTGTGTGGTATTTTACCACACAGATATGTAACTTGCTTACCTTTTTTCCATTTAATCCTCATTTAAAGCCTTAAAGAATGGTACTTTTTGTAATGTTCAAATAGATGGCTCAATGGTATCCTGATGGTTTAAGCATGGCATCTTCATTAGAAGCATTAAGTGTCAGGCCTACATCATTCTAAATATGTTGCCTTATTTGTCATTACATATTTAATGCAAATAAAGTATGCCTTTCTAACATATTTTCAACAAAAAGATCAGTAAGAAGTGTGATACTGCAATAAGCTTCTAATATTTTGTTCTTGGGTCAGTGCATCTCCTTCGCTTGAAGCCTTAACTATTTTTTCAGTTCACTTTAAACCTCATCATACTTCAAAAACGTATTCTAAATTTCAGAAAGAATTACGACCCTACAATTTTTCATCAATCTCACAAGAATGATCGATTGCTCAATTTGGAAGTCAATATCCTTGCATTTAGTTCTACTACCCTAATGGTTCTATTTCTGACTGCTCTTCTTATTATTTATGTAAAAACAGTAAGTTAATATTATTAATTATTCACATATATGTACTTCTAAGATTGCTTATAAAACTCAATACAAAATTCTAGTACATTTTTAATATGACTTTAAAGAAGGGGTTGAATCCGCAATATACTAAAATGTTGTTCATATGTGCCATTACTCCCTTTGTCTTTGAAACAACTTGTACACTTTCCTTTTGAGGATGTCTAAAAATCAACTTTGCACTTCTCCATTTTCCTTTTTAGGAAACAATTATGAAATATGTGGACATCTTTAATTCTCTCTCTTCCAAATAATTTTCAATCACATGCTTTTCACTTTTTCCCACCGTTTCTGCATTTTTTAAGTTCTGTGAAGTCAAATGGTCAGATTCTTTCAAAGACATAGGGAGAATATATTAATGACTATATGTCAAAGATTGGAGTTCTTAATAGTTAATACATCTTTATAATTCCATATTTCTTACTATCTTCTATGGAAAAAATGCAAAATACACCTTACATAGATTACACAAAAATACTCGTAACATAATAAAACCACGTGCTAGTCATGTGCTTGCACCATAGGCTATGCGGTGAGAATTAATAATTCAACACTCCACATTAACTAAAGCATGCGCATAATCCTTAACTTGTTTGTTACACTGAACAATATTATATCACAATACTTCCTTGGAAACCCTTGGTCCCTATCTTTTTGTGTGTGCAAAATATGAAGTTATTTGTACCATACATACGTAGTATATCTCACTCGGGACCGAGAGTAGGGTTTGGAGAAGTTGAGATCTAGAGAGACTTTTTCCTTGAAAACCTCGAGAAGCACAAATAAATGATAAGGGCTAGCTTGTGTGTGTGTGTGCGCGCGCGCGCGTGTATGTGTGCGTGTCACCAACCGCAGTTTTTCTCCCAACTACATGGAGCATTTTATGTCATTCCGTTTAACATTAAATCTATAGCAACAAAGTATGCATGTTGCTGCTGGGTTGGTGTATGTATTTGATTATTTATTCAATTTCTTCTATTATATGACAAGTACATCACAATAATTGTTGTTTCTTCATGTGTAAAGTTCTGGCAAAGAATTAACTTGTTGCAACCATTATCTTTTATCAGCTTCGTGGAGTTTCAACTTTTATGCAAGAAATGCTTGAAACTGCATCAATCCTGAAAGGAGCTACTGATAAATCATTGATTATTATTGATGAATTAGGACGTGGGACATCTACTTATGATGGATTCGGTCAGTTATATTTTAATTGTGTAACTATGTTTTGTGAGTATTAATCTTTCAATGGTGGATGAATTCTTTGCTGGAAGTAATGTGTACCTATTGACAGCTTCATCTTTTCTTATTCACATGTCATCTTGTATATATGGCGTATCTAGATTGCCATAGCTGGCCAAATGCATTTGTTCTAACCTTTGTTAACTCAATCTAAGTAACAAGTGTTTGATTATTAAATATTCATAGCCATTTGTCTAAGTGGGAAACAAGTGCACAACAAAAGCACAATCATGGAAATTGATTTGCAATGTTTGTGTTCACACTGACTTGGCCCTGATGAAACCATACGAATCACCCTCAAATCACGGCGTTACATTTGTACAATTTATTTCTTCTAAAGAATCATTTGATACAACTTCATTAACTTCTATCTGCTGTTCTTAACTACAACTTTCAGGCTTAGCTTGGGCCATTTGTGAGCACATTGTTGAAGCAATTAAAGCACCTACTCTATTTGCCACTCACTTCCATGAGCTCACTGCTCTGGCTAATGAAAATATGCATGATGATCAATCCAAGTACAGTGCTGGTATAGTGAATTGTCACGTTAGTGCACACATTGACTCAAAAAACCGGAAGCTAACAATGCTTTATAAGGTATCTCTTTGTCTCGTTCTTACAAAAGCCACTCAATATTTTGAACTTCTTATTCTTCTCAGATTTCCAAAAATGCTTGCCAAATTTACTATCCATGGAAATAAAGATTAGTGGTAAGAATTTGTTTCAAGATCATATGGTGGTTGGATACTTGGATGGTGTAATGAAGGTCATCTTAGGTAGAAGTTTCCTTCAGTCCTACCACTTACAGGAACATTTGGAATTGGAAATGGGGTTGTATTGAAAATTTCAGTAGCTGCATTGTTTTCTCATTTCAAAAAGTACATTTTTCTGAAATAGTTTATTAATCAAGTGTTCAAGTCCTATTGACTCATTATAAGAGGTATATAATAGTGTCCGGATGGAGTAGTTTTTAACTATAAAATTGTTGGTCTTCTGGATTTAGTTCATTGAAACCATATCACACAAGTTTCTGTGTTTCCTTGTTGGTACATTTGTGGGGACTGGGGAGGGTGGTGAACCTAAGACCTCTTACATAGATATGTTGTCTGATTTATGATTCACTCATTAATGCCAACTCCATAATGTCATTGTTCTTTCTAAATTGTACATGAATCTGCATTCTAAGAAAGATTTGATTAACATAATATCTCATAAAAAAAATATTCCAGGTGGAACCAGGAGCTTGTGATCAAAGTTTTGGGATTCATGTTGCAGAGTTTGCCAACTTTCCTGAGAGTGTGGTTTCTCTTGCTAGGGAAAAGGCTGCTGAGTTGGAAGATTTCTCACCTACATCTATACTTTTTTCTGATGCCGAGGTAACATCATCTGTTGCCTTATTGTGTTGCATGTGTCAATTATTTGTTTGAAATTTATGAACACTAAATTCACGCCAAAAAAAAAGTTTTACACTGCATGCCCTTCACATTGCAACCTTGTGCAGATAAATGATAAGACGAAAGACCCAAAAATGTCATAATCATAAGCTTTTTTTTTCCTTTTAAATGGAAATAGTGTAAGATGGTTATGAGTTGATATAGCTGTTATAGGAATATCCAATTTAAGAATTAAGATTGATATTGTAAAATCAACATGCAAATCACTGACCTTGTCAATCGATTCAAACACAGATCAAAATGAAGTGTAAATCTTTTCCCCCTGCCCCCTCTTGAATGTAGGAAAATTTTAAAAGCAGCAATAAGTGCACCTAAGCTCTTAGGAATGATCTGTCTTCATAGATGACCAAGTTTTCATTAATACCCTGACTTTAGAAGCATACATATAAAACAATAGAGTATGGGTAAAGTTAGTCTAAAGCAAAAAGATCCTACCTTGAATATATGTGATTAAAAATGGGAACTTGATTGTAGAATAGATGGAGTAAAAGTTCTCCTTTTATAATATTGAAAAGATGAGTTGTGCCGTGGTTGAAGCCATGGGTGACTTCTTCTGCGATTTTTTCCACACAGACAATGGCAATCCCCACTGTCAGTGAAGACAAAAAAAACACAGATGGTGTCACCCGTGGTGCTAAAATAGCATTTTTGTGAAAAGCTACTTCATGAAAGTACTGAATTTGGAAAATCCCAAAATCAATCCTAATGCCATGCTATACCTTTCTCTCTCTCTCTCTCTCTCTCTCTCTCTCTCTTCAGGCAACCTCCAAACGAAAAAGAGAATTCGACTCCGACGATGTGTCAAGAGGTGCGGCCAGAGCCCGTCAATTCTTGAAGGATTTCACAGAGCTGCCATTGGATAAGATAGCCGGGGATAAGAGTCAAGTTTTACAACTACTGAAGGAATTGAAAACCAAGTTGGAGAAGGATGCAGGAGACTATCCCTGGCTTCAGCAATTCTTGCAATAATCTTCCAGGTGGGTGGGTGGGTGGGTAGGTAGGTACTATGCAGCATATCATTTTGTGGATATAGCTTAGCCAGTTAATCTTCCAGCAGGGAGATTTTTGTCTGTGTATATAATCTAATCAACTTCACAGGGAAATTGAAAAAGAAAAAAAAGCATTATTCTATCTTCCTGTGAGGCTGTGGCATGTCAATGAAACTCTGGTTTTTGTTCCTTCAGAAACATATTTGCATGGAGATATATCTAATCTTCCCTCATCTTTTTGCCTCTTTATAATTTCACTCCAATTCCTCTTAACACTGGTTTAAATTTCCTTTTCCCAATTTATTTCTCGTATTTGAATTTTCAATGTTCTCAGCAGGTGCAGTATATAATACTACTAGTCCATAATACGGAGTATAAAACTAATCAATTTACTGTACATTTTTGAGGTAAACCCAAATTCAGGAGTAAATTTCACAAATGGTACATGAACTTTAGCTGGAATTTCGAAGTGGTACCTGAACTTCAAATCCTTTCACAAAAATCCCTGAACTTACACAATCCTTTCACTAATGAGCCATTAGCCCGTTTCTAGGTTAACTTCCGGTCATTAGGGCCAAATTTGAATTTTATATATTTTAAAATTTTCAATTTGACCCCATTTCTTCTTTTATTTTCTTCCACGCCCTGCCGCCGCCGCCGGTCAAAGTCGCCGGAAAATTAACTTTTTCCGATTCCGGCGGGACCAATGTCATTCTCTTCGTCTTGAGACGAGGATCAATAATATCCAAACCATTTTGTCTAATTTGGCCTGTAACTTCTCGAATCTGAATTTTTCTACTCGAAAAACCCTAAAATTCGAAATTGGATCCAAAATTGGGGGTTTTGCAAATCTTCATCAAATTTTGCAATTGAAGGGTCCTTGGAGGTCGTCTGGATGCCACGACCGCATTGGCGTTGGATGTTTGGTATTGGTAGTAGCCTAAAGTGCTAATATAATTACTTTTTTCTGAGATTCCAAAGTCAAATATAGGCATATAGGTTGCCTACTTAGGCTAGAGGGTATGGGGTGAAGGGAAAGGGGAGTGGAAGAGTAAATGGAGGGATGGAGGGATGTAAAGAAGGACGAGTTAGGGCATTTACAATGAGGCACTCTTTGGTCTTGTTCCAACTCTTGTCATATCTAGGGGTGGACACGGTACCGGTACGGTACCGTGACCGCCTGACCGGCAACGGTACCGCCGGTACCGACCACCGTCATCGCCGGCCGGGACGTACCACCGGTTGCCAGTATTTCGGTACCGGTACCGGTTCCGGTACCCTTTGTATTTTTTTTGCTTGTTCCGGTTTCCACCTCTCTTTTTAGAACTCCAGGTTTGAAGGAACAAGTGAATCTGCTCTCCTTCTCGTCTTAATCCATAAAGAAATTCACCGGTTTCCACCTCTCTTTTTAGACGAATATGCATATATGGAAACCTTTGACTTAGCATGTATCTACGGAAGGCAAGCTATGCATACAAGGAAACCATTGATTTAACATATATTGAGCCTTTCACTTTGTAAATATGGTAGTAGTATAATTAATTTATATTCTTGCCTTATGCGGAACCTGACTTGTAGGAAACCGTGTACATATATTTTCATCCTTCTACCGGAACCGCCGGTTCGGGTACCGGAACTGCCGGTCCTGGTACCGGAACCGGTACCGTCCGGTCCGGTCACGGTACAGGTATTTTTTTCTCTTTTCTTGATCAAGCATTGTCAACTGTTTCCCTTCTATGTCGTCGCGCCCCTAACCTCTGAGTAAATGATGTCTACGAGAACCTGTTCTATTGTTGCTGCCACTGGGACGAAGCGAAACATAGTATATTCGCCCGATGATGATGTGATGATACACTAACGATGTCAAATTTCTCCCTATGATCTTTCTCTGAGCGACAATGCAAATGTGTTGCTTACTCGAGTCATTGTAAAGGAAGATAATTGTGAAAAATAGTCAAAATCTCTACGCCTGTCTTTACGTAGTAAAATAAAGTTGGAGTTGTGGTTGGATCCACTTTGTTGTCACCCCAAATTCGAA